ACTTGCTTTTACTTTTATTAATGCAAGGAGAGATGTGAAACCTTGGGCTTGAGTGAGCCCAAGCTTGGGCTAGGAGTTACTGCCTTCTGAGCACTTCAGGCTCAGCATTCAGAATGCCATTTCAGAGCCTCAGACCGGCAAAGGCATTATGTTTTGTCCCATGGTTGCTGGGAAGTGGCTCCAAAGCCACACATCCCTGACACACACACACACATTTTTTTAATCTCAGAACACTGTTTCAGTCACATGAAGTGAAAAAGTCAAATTGTTTCTTTTTTTTTCACAAGTGAAAGTTTTACTCAAAGTTTCTCAAAACTTACAGAGCAATGGAAGCACATGAGACTGAGAGTGTGTAGCGGCCAACAGAGCACAAATGATAATGATATGCCGTTAGCTGAAGGAAAACAATATTCTTTTTTCAGAAGAAATCATTCACTAACCCACAGCATGCTGAAATACCAAGAGCACGTGGATTTTGGTAAGTACCAGGAAGCAACAGAGTTGTATCAGAAAGAACAACTTTAACGACTTCAGCTGAAGAGCTAAAAGTGCTGGAAATATAAGTGCTACAAGGAGCCACCCTGTGGCACCAACAAGCTAAGGGAACAGAGGGCAAGCCAGGGTAGACTCTTGTGTGGGTTAGTCGGGTTTGGTTTTTTTTTTTTGGAACTCAAGCCAGCCATAGTGACAAAAGCTGGAACTGGCCCAAACAGCCACTTCTGTGGCAGGGAACTCCTTAACTGAGGAACTGAACCTGAAAAGCAGAGGGGCAGCAAGCTCCAGCAGCTTTTGCCCACATGCCACTCACTTGTCAGGCTTCTCAGGGGCAAAGCTCTCTGAGGGACATCAGCATTCCCTGATGCCTCATCCCTGGGAATCCCGCAACAAGAGGCAAATACTACTCCCAAAATTTATCCTTTTATATGGAAGTGTTCAGATACAGCTGTATCTCTCACATAACAACATAAAGGTCTCTCAAGGCTAACTTAAGGACATAACCAAAGACTTTTACGAGGGAATAGGTAAAAATGCTGTCTGACACAGCACTCTGTGACCCGTCACTGTGCGTGGCATGGGCGCACACACAGCTTGTGGGCAGCTGTCCCCAGCCTGTCTGCGCTGTCCCACTCAATCTCTCCAAAATGCTGCCTGGGTACTGCCGCTTCCCTGTGATGATCTGGACAGCTGGAAGGCAGTACCAGTGGCACAGAGGTGACAAACAATTCGCTGTCACTCCCAAACAGACTCTTCACTTAATTTGCTGGCGTATGAGGCAGGATCACTTTGCTTTCCATCTAAATTCTGATTTAACAGGCCAGTTCCTGACTGCTCAGCTCAGGCTCCTGGTTCTCATTACTACTGGAGACAAGACCAGGCCACTTCTTTAATCAGAAATAGTAGTGAGCTCTTATAAAAATGGAGCAATGCCACAGAACTGACCTACTCCCCATCATCCATCACCTGCTGGTGAGGACGTTTGCTCTTGGACCGTGACATGAACTGACAGCTTCACGGTCGGTTTTGTTTTCACCGTGCAGGAGCAGCATTAAGGACTCCCATTTCCATCTTTGACGGCTCAGCAGAATGTTCCTCTTCTTATATGGAGAGACACAGCTATCGCAGCACCGGCAATTTCTGACCTTTGTCCTTAATAAATGGAAGGCATCATATCTAAGAATGAAGTCACACCCCCGCCGAAAGTATCAGCTGAAAAGAAAAAAAAAAATACAGCAACCACTCTGCTTAGCAACACGGGCGGCCACCAGCATCACTTCCTCCTCAAATACAAAGTTCAGTGCACGGGCTCCACCCTGACTCAGAGCCGCCTGTAAAATTGGATCTGACTCGCTGAGAGGTCACGTCTCCTCGCTGTGAACAGGACTTTCCACAGCAGCAATATTTCACGGGAACTTCCCAACACACAGGCAGGGACGGAGGGAGGGAGGAAACGCCGCCGCAGTCACGGAGTTCACCTGCCGAGGAGGCAAGGCACCGACTTTCACATTCCCATTCGTCTGTCCTTCCAGACAGATTTTTTGGAGCAGGTACTGAATAACTCCTTCCTTCTGTGGACCGGGGAGAAAGAGTGATTTCTCACTATTATTTATTGTGTTTGCATATGCAAGGAGCACCTAGGTGTGACATTCTCGGATGTAACTACAGATGTTGTCATTGCTTGTTTTGAAACAGGAAGCAATGTAAAACCTATGGCCAAAGACACACTTAAATATCCCTGGAAGATATTTACAAACTATCCTTGAAAAATACATATAAAATATTTTTCCTACTTATGATCATTGAGAAAAAGATGTATTTAAAATTGTTCGGTTTTATAACATTTTTTATAACTTTTTTTGTAACTTTTTTCTGTAACCATGTATTTGTTTTTCCAAATGCTTCATAAAACTGCAAGTCTACAACAATTAAAAAATCCGTTTACTTATTCAGTTAAGCCAAATGTGGTTTCTTTCTGATTCTTCTATTCTGAAAGAGGATCAACTAATAGGATGATACCGTTTTCTCATTAAACTCAGGTCCACTCCCCTCCCCACTTGGTAAACTTGTAGGAAGGGGGTTGAGAGGCATCTGAAGAGACCATCTGGTCCCCCTAGGCTGCACAAAGATAGGATAAAGTAGCCCCAGACAATCCCCAACAGATGTTTGTCTAACCTGTTCTTAGAAACCCTCCACGAAGCACAGAACAGAACTTCCTAGGTAGCTTGTTCTGGTATTTCACCAGCATTCAAAAACAATTGATCAAACCTCTTCTAACCTTTTACACATTGGAAAAATTATCTGATTTCCTCTAAAAAATATTTTTAAGGCTCAATATCCTTCCTTCCTTCACCATTTTCTTTCATGTTCTACATCTCTTATTTGCTTTTTCTCCCTGTTCTGTACTTCATTTTTCAGCACAGACCATGAAACCAAGGACAATGCGGCAGTTGGGAGCTTACTGGCACTCAGTAAGTGTAAGGAGTCATCTTTACATTGTTCTTGATGACTTACATATGCCACCTATTGATAAATCCTAAGAGAGCATTCTGCAGGAGCACTGCACTGTCCACTGCAATTTTGTTAGTGATGCTCTACAAACTCTCTGTAACCATCTACCCTGACTTCTCCATGAAACTGATGATTTATATTTTCTATATGAAGTTCATTTTGATTTCTGTACTGATCATCTGAAGTGGTCACTCCTAGCTTGATGCAATAAGACATTTCATAAATATACTCTGCATTACACCAGTCAAGTTTATTCTTTGTCTTTTTTCACACTGGCTTTATGATGGTACTATCCTGATGCCTTACAGCAGAGTAATTTGTGCCATTTCTTCTGTCTCTTTCTTTTTCTGTCATGTCCTTTCTCTCTCCAGAATGTCGTGCATGGAAAATTTGGTTTCAGAAGGATATAGGGACATAAATAGGGTCACTGTATGTTTATATAGAGAAAAAAGTATAATAAATTGTTCCTTCCACTATTTCAGTCCCAGCTCTGAGAGATCAGTCTCATACATGGTGAAGCTGAGAAAAAATTGTCATACATAGTTAAGTTTAAAGCTTATAAAAATATTTTTCTGTTACAGAGTAGTGACGATTCCAGCTGTGGTCTTTGTTTCACTGACACAGAACACTTTAAGGGCTGAAAATTTTAATATGAATCAATACTTAGTTATGGAAACATCACAATTTGGAAGAAAAGGGGAATGCACTCACACTTATTATTAATTATTGTGGGTACAGAGACATTTAAAAAGTGTGAGATATATTCAGCAAATGTTTAAAGACTTAAACTTATTTGTACGATCTTCACAGTTCCTCACAGTCCAGCCAAACTGGAAAATATATCCTCTGTGGAGCACTGCACTGCAAGAAGAGAAACACTGATTGGCTAGACAGAGTTTGGTCATAGAACCAATGAATAGTTTGTGTTGGAAGGGATCTCTAAGAGCCACCTAGTTCAACCACCCTGCAATGTCCAGGGACATCTTCAACTCAATCAGATGGCTCAGAGCCCAGTCCAACCTGACTTTCAATGTTTCCAGGGATGGGGCATCAACCACCCCTGGGCAAACTGTGCCAGTACTTTGCCACCGTCACTGTAAAAAAAAACCCACTTCTAATCAGTTAAGTATTAAATAGAATACACCATTAATTGAACCTTATAATAAAATGTACTCTGGTAATACCAACTCGCAAATAAAGGAATACCTCACTTCATGCTTGCACTTCATAGGAGACATGTGAGATCTGATTCCACTCGTGCTGGCATGATTTGAGAGCAGAGGTGTTCTCTGATGTGCCAAACATGAAGAAATAAATCTGGAGCAACAGGTCAGTGTTAAAAGCACCACCACCAGCAGACAACACCTCAATTTGTATCCCGCCATTCTGCACGTTTTCTGCTTCTGTTTTGCACAAGTATCTAAAATTTGTTCTATCCCTTAAGAGGAGCACCTTGGTTCTGCAGCACTGAGGGAACTCCCCTGAAATCCTGCCAGAAACTCACCTCTCCTGTGCACAGGTTTGTTTATACTTTGGGTATGACAACTTACCCAATCATTGTATTTGCTGGTACACTCTGGGCAGATGAACAGAACCTGCTTGTTTCAGTTAAGGTGGGAAGATTTTGTGTCTTCATCCAGTGGTGACTGAGCAGGGAGGGGATGTGAGGCACATCTGTAATGCCATGGGTCACACTCCAAAGGCTGCCCACTTTGACAGCGCTGCACAGAACAGCACAGCTCAGCAGCAATGGACCAATTGTTTTCTCTCTTCAAAAACACAAGCCAGAACATGCAGAATTTTTCGCACAGAGAGCACAGATTGTATCACGGCTTCCAAGGCAGCAGGTTTTTACCTGGACCTTGTCTGAAACTTAACAGAAAAGCTGTAAAGTAGTTGCTAAAAGATAGAGATAACAGATGCAGTGCTGGCACGAACATTCATCTTTGGTGTAGCGGGTTACTAACATGACTTTTGAGTCAGAACACTGCACATGCTCTCAGGCTTTTTTATTTAACAAGTAACATACCACACAGCATGTCCACCTTGCAATCTGTTGGGAAATAAGAAACATTGACATGGTAGCTAAGAAATCCCAAATGTGATGGCAGTCATATTGATGCCAACTTCTTAGAAACCAAGTTTCATGATGCATAAAAGCTGCTCGCTTTCTTCAGAGGTAGGCTTAGCTTTTTGAGTTATATTTGCTGTTGTACAACCACCAGAAGTTGACACAGTACATTATATACAACAAAACTCCCCAGAACATTAACAAATCAATATAAGTGACGACAGACACTCTAATTTCTAGGTCAAGGGAGTACAACTCTCATAGTTTTGTACCCTAGTCTAAATGGCAGGCAGTTCTCAGGGCTTGGATGAAAGGGAATTGCAGCAGGATGAAGGGAGGAGCAGGAAAAGGCCCACTTCCACCTGGAGTTGCTTTTTATAAGCCTCCCTCTACTAAACAGGCAATCCCAGTGCTTACAAGGATGCCCCACGGGAACTTTGCTGACAAAGGCCCAAATACACAGTTTATTCTTGATCCAGAAAAAAAACAAAAGGAGAGCCTTCAGAGAAATAAGGAGAGGGATCATCAGTTCAATACGCTGGAAAGACCTCTTTTTGTCACTCCCCTCCACAGAGATTTAAAGCTAGCAAGACACAGATTCCCAGATAGAAGGAACAACAGCAGTTATTGTAATAAAAGGATCAGTGTACCCAGGCCTTGGATTTTTTCAAGCAGAAAATATTATTAGAAGTTCTCCAGTGCCAAAGACAGCAGCACATGGAGCACTCTGCTGTCCTGGGTCTTTCGTGCATGTTTATACAGAGGCACAACGGTATTGGAAGGGTTATCATCAAAGCCAGTAAGTCCTTCAACCCTCCTACCAATCCCTAGAAACTATCTTCTGAAAAACAGAGATATCACCACACATACGCACACACAACTGAAAAAAATTACAGGCAATATGTGTTTTTAAACCCTCCCTGTTCTTTCCCCTGGTCTAAACGCCATAAAATCCCAGTAGTTTAAACTGCTCTGAGAATTTTAAAACTATAATACACCACAAATTGTAAAGTTTCACTACACATTTTTTTCCCTCTTTAAAAATGAAAGCCTAGATCCAGCTTTCAGCAGAAGTGAGACTATTGTTTCACCATGATTAGGTACAAGGAGGGGAAAACAAACCGGGCAGCGCTGGGGCCTAACGCTGTCAGCATTCGTTCTGTATGCAGTGCTCTGCTGGGCACTTCTCAGCTCCAGCACACATGGTAGTTTTTGCAAGATCACGGCCTTGTTTTAGTATAACACAATCAAGATAATTTTTACAAGGTCAGAAAGTTGAAATAAGAGGAAACAAAATCCAGGCCAGTTGTGTCTGGAATCAATTAGGCTTATGTGCTTTTCAGATGCTGCTTGTCTTTCTATTAAATAGTACTTCAATGTATACTTTCTATTAGCATGTATATAAAACCATGCATTGCATACAGTATGTTTCTCCATTTGTTTAAACCCACCTAAACTAAGGATGTCAGGAGGTCAAAAAGGAAGAGGTGTTCATCTGTGAGCGTTGAAATTGTTCTCTTGGCATTTACAGTTTAGTTATCTGCCTCCCCAGTCACAAACTGCTCAGAAGGGCCGAATGTCCAGGCCTGTCTGTGGTGGCCTCTACCTGTCCAAAAAGCAAATTAAAACCAAAGCATTCCATCATGTAAATACCAGCTATGCCCACGGTCAACTTTTAAGCATTTTGTTTAGCAGTAAGATTTAGAGGAAAGAATCCCACATTGCTTTGCCTTTGCACAATAAAATTTTTGCTGTCTAAGCCTCACATTCGGTAGTGAATCATCCACAGCATACTTTATTTAAAGAAAAGTTGACTTTATAAGGAATTTCCATTTTCTTCCACATGAAGCCAGTCTAACTTATACTAAAATGCAAGCCAGTGCCTGCCAGAAGGAATGCACAGGGGCACACAATCCAGAGAGATTTGTGCTGCATTTGCAAGTAAAACAGGTGACAGTAAAAACATTGATTTGTTGCTCATGTTGTGAAAAAAAGATTACAGACATAAAAATTCTATTGTCTAACCACTTAAATATCAAAATATTTACCTTCATTGCTTCTTTTCTCACCTTCATTTTGCCAAGTATGGAAATAAAGTGAAAGAATTTGTTCTTCCTCCACTTCAGTAACTTCTTAACATAAAAGTTGGTATTATTTTGGATAGCACTATAAATAATAATATGCAGAAAAAGAAGTTAAACACATCAGTTTCTCAGCAGAACAGTTGTGTGCTGTGTTTAGAGTTATTAGCCAGGCTCAGAGCCGGCTCGGTACCACAACACACGGGGCATCAACGCGCCAGCTGGAGCTGGGTCAGAGGAGGAACTCGGGGACGCGCTCCAGGCAGATTCTGCAGGGTCAGGGAGGAGCGACAGGCCGGGCTGCCCTTGGAGTGACACAGAAACCCATTCTCTGGTGGCAGGGAATGATTTTCCTCCCGCAGTCACCCCTCCCACGCTCCCGTGCAGTCAGTCCCACAATGGTGCAGCTCCACACGCGGGCAGCGAGGGGAGGACGCGGCCGCCGGCAAGGGCGTGGGTCGAGCCGGCAAACACATCCCGGAGGGAAGCCCCGGCTGGGCTGGAGAAGCGGCCTGGCTTCCGCACGGCCATTGTTCTTTCCGGGAACGGGACACCGCGTATCCCTCGTCCCTGTCCGCCGGGCGGGGCGGGCTCCCCGCTCCCCTGCGCGCTCCCGCTCCCCGCAGGGCTTCGCTCCTTTAGAAGGTCCCGCTGCTTTCCCGGGCCAGGAGCACCGTGTCCCCTCCCTCCCGAGGGGCTTCGCTCACACAACCTCGCACCTCGCCCCTCCTGCCGCCCTTCCGTGTCCGCAGGGGCTCGCAGGGAGCCCCGGGACAGCGCCTCAGGATCACGGGCGGGATGGGGAGGGGACCAGAGGCGCGCCCCCCTGGCAGGGCCGCCGGGAAGAGCGAGCAGCTGCTGCCGGGATTCTCCCGGGGAGACGGGGGGAGCCCCGCAGGGATGGCGGGACCGACCCCGCCACCTCCGCCCGCTACCTGCTCCCCCTCCCCCAGCGGGTCGGAGGTTGCCGTGGCGACG